AAATCTAATTTTTCAGTAATTATCTACTTTAATTTTAAGTTAAATCTTAATTTGAAATACAAGTTTAAATGCAAGAATTATTTCAATTCCTATGAATAGCTTACTCAGAAATTGTGAAAAAAAACCGCAGTGTTTTACTTCGCTAGTGCAGTGTCATTAGAATTGATGAATTTAACCCTTGACTTTGCTTTTCTACATTTTTGAGGTGATTTTTTGGATGAGCGGTTGTTGTAATGCATCCTAATTGACTTAATTACTGCGAATGGCCTTAGGGCATAAAAGTTAACTATGTGGTAAAAATTCTATGTAATTGTATGCCAGTATTGAAATAAACAATAAATCTGGTAAGAAATGGCTGCGACTTGTTTTGAAAATGAGGCGTAAAAGGTTACCAGCGAGGATATTCCGTTTGGCATCGGTTGTACTATTTTTGGCGACTTTATCATTTGCGCCGGCAAAATGGAAAAGTACCAACTATTTTATCTATATTATTTAATATTTAAAGCAAATTTTAACCGGAGAAAATTGTATGTAGCACAATAGAGAAAAATTTTGACAGTACCTGAAATATCAGTATCTCATTGATTTTCTGATAGTAAACAATTTAGTTTTCGTCTTCTTTAGCACATTCATTGCCTAATTTTCGCGTGCATTCCAAACAAACAGGGTCTTGGCAAGATAAACATAAATATGCTGTCTTTCTTTTCTTGCTTGGGGACCACAGACGACATGTTTGCTTTGATTTTAATTTTGCTTCTTTTGTGCACTGCTTCCACATCCTTAGACTCAGCTTCTTTTGTGCACTGCTTCACATCCTTAGACTCAGCTTCTTTATCCTAAGGCGTAATCCGCTTTATTCGTATGGATTTTTCACTCTCGTGTGTAGTAGTGGTTGGACTAATTCTCTTGCTAATTCTTTCAAAAACACCATTCTGGTCATAACAGGGTTTTGGTTATAACCTTGGTGCAAAATGTATGAGTTTACTGTACTCATATCTACTAACCAGTAGGAAAGAGCCATAGGCCAATGCGTTGTTCTCCTACTACAGGAATGGACAGAACATTTTTCATCTAAAGCATCAACACCACCTTTGGTTCTGTTATAAAACGCAATTACTTCAGGTGTCTGTGTTTCCGAGTCTGTTTCTATCGAATGATGCAATGATGACATCAAGACCACTGCTCGCCTTTTCTTTGGAACAAATGAAATCAAGGTTATATCCTTAGCAAATCCATACAATGTTAAATTCTCTTTTCTTACATGGAAGAAAATCTTTCAGAATTTCTTCCTTATTTTTTTAACAATTCCAACGTATGTCAGTCCATTTTTCAACAATTCTGTGGTAAGTTCTATGGAAGAAAACCAATTGTCTGCTGTTACATTCCTGTTCGTATTAAAAATTGGTTTACTCAAACGCAGAATCCATTCAATTGGACAAAACCTCCAATAGGGGTGATGGGACGAACATGTGGCACGGTTCGTCAGACCGCACGTTCCCTGTTACGGGTTAACTCTCCATAAACGTTTTGCGAAAATATGAACTAATAATGATTTGCGATTTTAAAACTTTATTTTCTCTTACCGCAATGTTCGAAAAGTAAACAGAAAATTCCCTGTGTGGGTTGCAACAATTATCAGGGTTGCCATATTCTGGTACACATGCACTCTCTCCCGAGATGTCAACAAATCGCCAAGAGCCGGTTATCTGAAAACTGCCAATATAATATTAAATTAGATGCTACTTTTTTGTATTTTATCCATATCAGGATCAATTCATGAGTGTAACTATTATGCCTGATTAATCAATCACTTATAATATTCTGAACTTTGTCTTGTAAATTATAATACATACATAGATGCTAACATAAATATTTGCATCCATCTCTTTTTGGTACTGTTTTACTATTGGAATCATATTCAAAAATGTAATGTTGATATAGGAAAGTACAGTCAAAAGTCGTTAATCCAGACTCGTTGGGACTTTGGCGATTCCGGATTATAGATCATCAGTTTAAATCTCGTAAGATGGCATGCAGAAATTCTAAAATTAAAAATATGAAACCTTAATTTATGAAATAAAGAATAATTATAATCTAGAGGGTATCAAAATTTTAAAAAAAAAAAAAAAAAAAAAAAAAAAAGCTTAATATTTATTTGTTTACTTTATTAAACATTTCTTTCAATGCAAAATTGTTTTTAAGTTGCTTCGTTTTATGTGATAATACTTTCTCTTTTAATTCTATAAAAGACAACACAATTTCTTGTTCAGTTACAAAGTTCCGCTGTTCAAGTCCCGTTAATTGTTGTGCCGAGAATACCGACTAACTTGTCAATAAAAATTTTTTCGTTTTCACTAACCTCTCTGTCACATTCTTCATGTATTTATCCAATTTTTGCAGCAATTCCACTTTTTGTTTGATGGACATCGAAACATACTTATGTTTTGTACGATCCTTTGGAAGCTCCAGAATCGAAAACTCTATTTGACATAATCGAAAGTTCAAGTTTACTTTTATAAAATTGCTCTTACAGTCTGCAAAAAATAATAAACCGGATCCAATTCGAAGATTAAGGAACAACACAATTATCAACATTTACTGAAATAGATAATTAGATAATTTTAGATTATATCGTCCGTTATACATAAAACGCGCATGCAAAAACGTATTCTGCGATTGCGCACACGCATATGCGCAGTGGTAAAAGGTCTTATGCGCACGCGTAAACGCCTATGCGCATGTGTCAACGCGGCGCATGCACAGAAAGTTTTTAGCTTTGAGGTCCGGATTATAGATCATTCCGGATTATGGGTGTCCGAATTAACGACTTTTGGTACAACTCTGATATACGCCCTAATTTCACCAAATGTGGCGATATGTGTTCTGCGCCGGTTTTTGGCGCGATTGCGTGTTGTATGGCAACCCTGTTGACGTTGAAAAATCTTTTGCTGGAGTTCGTTGGTTCCCGTCATGCTTTGTGTCTGAGAAGCTAGGGGGGAAAGATTTAATGGTGAAAGTTGTTGAATTGAAGTTCGGCAATAAGGAAATATTCGTCGTGGCCCTCCTGTTGAGGGGCAGCGTGAGTATTTGGAGATGTGGAAAGAAGGTATGGGAGATTATTTTTAGTGGCTATGTGTGATAGAAGTAGGGATTTGTGATTATTTGTTATTTTATTTATTTGTGAACCATAGTATGAATTTTCTGGATAGTGTGTCTGGCTGTCATATAAATACGATAGTGATTACGTGGCGGTATGAAATTGGTATTTCTGTTGTTCGAAAAAGCATTAATGGTAAGTGCATTTTATTTTATTCTTGTTCTTATTTTGTAGAATGTTATGTTCATTGTTTTTTTAGTATGAATTTCTGTCGTTATTGTTTGTTTTTTTTTTTTAATTGTTTGAAATTTATTTTAGTTATTTTGTTGATTAGTGCGTACCGTCTAAACCATGCAATTCGTAGATGTTTTTTAAAGTTGAAACAGAACGCTGTGTACATGGTATTCTTTGAAATTTATTGTTGTTATGTTAATTATTAAAGCGAGGTGTCCGTAGTTCATTCGTTGCTTAGATGGTGCCATTCGTATATTTTTTTTAAGTTAAAACATATCGCTGTGTACATGGACTCTTGTCAAATAATTTTGGGTAGAAACTTCATGGTTTTGTTAAATTTTTTGTTTTTGTTTCGGATTTTTAGTTTAAATTGTGTGTTTAAAACGTGGTTTTTGCATTCAAGAAAACTGTGTTTCTGGAGACATTTTAGGCTTAAAGTTCAAAATGTAGACAAAAAATTTAGATAGCAATATGGCAGTGTGGAGTTTCTCGCCAAAAATATTTGGCGAGAAATTCGGCGCCTTGAGGGCGCATATCGGAGTAGTTCCCGACTTTTGACTGTATACGCATGTGTATGTATGTGCATATATATGAATATGTACACACATACATACATTTGTATGTTAGTGCATACATGAACACATACACATATTTATTTCTGGATTTGGTACACTGCTAACAAAACAGTACCCTCTTTTGTTCTTTTTGTTTATTTGGGTATGTTACTCGCACATCTCACAATAAATAACTACTTGAAACTCTGCATATACTGAAAAATGTAACTTTAATTATTATATTCTATTAATTGAGAAATGCATCACAGATTTCAGCTAACTCTATTCCGATGGGTTAAATGCATTAAGAAGGAGAAATATATCAGAATCCCTATGGAAAAAAAAAAAGATTTTTTAAATGATAGTCGAAGGCTAAAAGATTATAGTCAGTGTTGTTTGAACTGAGAATACCTGATTTGTTATTCAGATTTAGGCCAGGATCGGTGCCAGAGCTAGTCTGCCACACTGGGTAGAGTTTAAGGCAAAATTTTGAGAATTTCAGACCTGCCGAGATTGCACCAAGCCATAAAATGGTAAAATTTTATAATTGGGTGTCCCTTGTCTTTTGGTGATTCTTTTTGACACCAACATCGGCACCAGGAAGGCACAATTTTAAAATGGCCACTACACCAAAATAAGAAGTTATGGGGTTTCATTGCCAAAATTTGCCAACACTCAAAGGGCCACCCAATTCCACACTAAAGCCAAAATATTAAAGAAGAGAAATGAAGTTAATCTTAAAATAATTAGAATAGCTTTTTTGCTTTTGCTCAGTCTTTCAGAAACTTCGATGCTTTCCAAAGCACCTAGGAAAAAAGGTACCTATTATGGCATTTATGAACTTGTTTATTATTTTTAGAATATGTGCTTTATAGCATTTATTATTTAATTTATTTTTTAGAGGCAAAATATTTTTAAGTTCCCAAAAGGGAAAATAATTTCATCTTCAAATATCACAGCAGAATATAAAAAATTAATTATTTCAGCTTTCTTTCACTATTACATCGAAAAAATATAAAACAGTTTTCTATTAGCAAATTTTTTTTTTTTCAGTTTTCTATTAGCAGTAGCAAATTTTGGCAAAATACATATCTATTATACAGAGATTTTTTTACCTGCAGTGAAACGATGTTTGCCAAATTTTTTCTTATATGAATTATATATGTGGGATTGCTCTATTTGACTGAAAATGTCTGAAATTTCATTTCACCTTTCTAACATTGCTGAAGAACACTGCACTGATTTTAGAAATGTTATACACTCACACATTTGATCTTGAAGGAGGATAGGCATGGTTTTCAGTACTTGTTCACGACGAGTGGAAATACCTAATACATTTTTCATGACAGACACCAAGAATGGCATTACTATATGTATTGACACAGCTGTAATTCATAAAAGTATGAAATTCAGACACAGTTAACATAAAACACGTACAATTTACTGCACAGATATTAGATGAAACATTTAGCTGCTTTATAGAATTTTAGGTTTTGAAGTTCTTACCCGCATTTCATTACACACAAGATATAAACACTGAACATTTATTATCATGTAAAAATATCTTGAAAAATATTTCATATTGTGGAAACAAATGGTGTATAATTTATTTTCATCAATTGAGAAGTTATGTTTCTCACACAGGGTCATCAGTAAGCTTTATGCTATTCAGACTTGCCTCTAAATTCCAAGAATTCTGTTAACGCAAGAGAAAAATACAGACTTGACCAAAATAATGATCTTTTCTAGTTGCAAAAACATTGCTTACTGCAAAGGTAAGTAAAAGTTGTTTGAAATACATATTAAAAACGGAGGAGGTTTTTTTTCTATGTAGTAAGATAAGTTTTTTCAACTTCTGCATCACCATAAATGACTTACATACGTAACTCATAACATTTGTCTCTTATGTTGTTATCCATATTTAAAACCCCTTTTATGAAAATGAATGAATTTACATACCACACACTCTCCAGTGTGAATAAGCATATGCTTGTTTAACTACACACTTGAATAACCATCTCCTTACATACTTCACACATATGAGGTTTCTGCTCTGTGTGAATACATGCATGAATATTTTGGTAAACTGCAGAATCGCTCACTTATTTGTTTGGCACTTTTTACAAGAGTAAGAAGAATTGCATTTTTGTCAATTTTCTTTGACTTTTTAAGTGAAAATACGTCGATGTGTACATGGATAAAGGGAGTGCACAATGGCATTTTTGTGCAATTCTGGGATGTTTTTTTAAGTGAAGATAGGTTGATGTGTACATGGATACCGAGTATGTGCAATTCTTATAAAATGTGCCGAGCAGTGGGTGATTCTGCACTTTCCCGGAATATTTAAATGGATTTCATTCATACAAGTTTTCTCTCCTGTGTAAATGCGCACATGGCCGTTTAAATGAACTCTTCGAATAAATGATTTCATACATACTTCACACATGATTTTTTGCTCCTGTGTGAATAAGCATATGCCTGTTTAAATTAGCTTCTGAATGTCTTCTTCTGAAGAAGCATATGCTTTTCAAATTATCCTTTACACTAAACTTTTCTTACATACTTCACACATATAAGGTTTTATCTCCTGTGAATATGCATATGCCTGTTTAAACTACCTTTTTGATTAAACGATTCCTTACATACTTCACACATATAAGGTTTCTCTCCTGTGTGAATAAGCATATGCATGTTTAAACTACTCTTTTTAATAAATGCCTTCTCACATTCTTCACAAATATGAGGTTTCTCTCCTGTGTGAATAAGCATATGTTTATTTAAACTACTCCTTTGACTAAATGACTTCTTACATACATCGCACATATAAGGTTTCTCTCCTGTGTGAATAAGCATATGCTGGTTTAAAATACACTTTTCACTAAACATCTTCTTACATACTTCACACATGTGAGGCTTCTCTCCTGTGTGAATACGCATATGCTTGATTAAAGTACCCTTTGCACTAAATGTCTTCATACATGCTTCACACATATATGATTTTTCTCCTGTGTGAATAAGCATATGCTTGTTTAAACTAGATTTTACATTAAACGTCTTATTGCATACTTCACACATGTGAGGTTTCTCTCCTGTGTGAATAAGCAGATGATTTTTTAAATTACTCCTTACACTAAACATCTTCTTGCATACTTCACACATATAAGGTTTCTCTCCTGCATGAATATTAAGCATATGCTTGATTAAACTATCCTTTACAGTAAATGTCTTCTTACACTCTTCACACATATATGGTTTCTCTCCTGTGTGAATACGCATATGCCTCTTTATGTAAGACTTTACACTAAACATCTTTTTGCATAATTCACACATGTGTGGTTTCTCTCCTGTATGAATACGCATATGCATGTTTAATGAACATTTTTTAGTAAATGATTTCTTACATTCTTTACACATGTAAGGTTTCTCATTTAAATACGCTTGCATATTTAAATGAGTTTTTTTGCTTAAATGACTTTAAAAGATTGATTGATTTAAATGAAATGATACTTCACACCTTGATGCTTCTCCCCTGTGTAAATTAAGCATATGCTTGTTTAAATTAAACTTGTGTCTGAATGTCTGATTACTTTTATGATACACAAGAAATTCGTTGTTTTATGGATACCTATTACATATTTCTTCTTCCAATTGCTGCACTGCATACACTTAGACATGAAAGTTCTATTCGATACTAATAACTATAAGCTTCTTATATAAATCAGGATGATATTTATGCTCTGCATGGATGGAAAATAAGGTAGTTAAGTGAATTTCACGCCAACCTACTCCTGGATATTTCACAATTATTTTCAGTGCCTTGTGTAAATGCACGTCTCCTTGATCAAAATATTAATATGTATTGTTCATGAGATTTATCTAACGTACTGCATAAGCTTGACTTGATTTCCAGGAACATTTTAGAAAAAATCTATTTGTTACATTACACAGAAATACGATTTCTCGCTGAAGAATATTTAGGCAATCACTCGTTAATTTACGCAGTTCATCATACATGCTTCATTATTATTATATGACGTTTGGATTCTTCTAGATTTCTTAGTGCTTTACACTTGCTTTTAAATGCTAAATAATTTGCACATTTCACCCCGTTAACGCTTACAAGAAAAAGTATCACCCACTTCTTCAGCTTTCAGTACTTAAAAATATAAATCACGCTTCAGCACGGAGAAGTCTTTAATCAAAGACTCTTATCGTACGTTTACAGTAGTCACTATCATTCAAACACTATAACTGCGATAAACCTTGACAGAACAGAATTATTATGACGAAACAAAGGTTACGTTGCTACATCGTTTTACAAAGTTGCGATGCGCAAACTACTAAACTATCCGCGATTCCAGCTCTCTGATGCGCCATCTAGTGGCTAAAAGGTGGAAATATTAAAAATCGGTATTTACGTTTAACAATGTAGAATTGAAATAAGAATTTACGTTAACTACGTAGTTTGTGAAGCGTGTTGTGATCGAAAAGTAATTAAACGTTTTATTTTTTTTTATTGTTGTGGGCATTATGTATAACTTAGAAAGAAGTACAGACCACAAGTTTTGTTGTGTACACCAATGTAAATCACGAGCTTGCAAGGAACCTGAATTATGCTTCTATCGCATTCTTTTGGTTCAAAAAATATCGAAAGAGATAGCAAAACGAAGAAGAGAGTGGATTCGCGTATATCGAATTGGAAAGAAAGTTGGACATTGTATGAACGCGCGTTCTAAGCATTTAAAAAAAAAAAAACTGATTACATTTTTTCTCGTAAGAAAAGTTTCCTTTATATGTGAAAAAGTTCCTTCTCGTGTATCATATATATAAATGTGTATGTGTGTTCTTCGAAAGTAAACATGCATATTTGTGTATTGAAGTATAAATCATTATAGCTCATTAATCTCTTAAATATTATTAATACAGATACATATACAATTATGCTTTCATGCATATTTTTACCTGCAGAAATTTAAATTGTGTTTCAGTTTATGTTAACGATGATTTAAATTAAAATTTATAGAATGACACATATGAAAATAAAAGTTAATTATTTAACGTTAATGATGAGCTTTGAATTTCATATTCTAGTAATGTTGAAATTTCTGTGTGTGAGCCATTTCCTGTTAAACTATTTAGAACTGTTTACAGTGGTTCAGGATAGTTAGCATAAAAATATTTCGAGTGAAGAAAATAACTATGATGATCTGGTATGAGTAATGGTATAAAAAGTATTACAGATATCAGATCTTTTCCACTACAGAATAGCATGCACCAAGCAATTTCTTATAGAATGATATACATACCATTGTTCATCGCTGAGCGCAGTTAAATGTTTTTTCTTATCATTTATAACAGTGTTCATTTTGAAGTAAGTATTAGTAATAAAAAGTTTTTAAAGTAGTTTAGAAAAATTTCTCCATGGTGAAAATTAGCTAATGATGAAAGTATTTTTTCTCACTTGAAGTATCAAACAGGCACATATATCTTTTTCGAGAAACTTTGTTGTTCTATAATGTAAAGCACTCAAGTATTTGTTCAGTGATAAATATTGATAGAGGAGAGACTTTTAGGTAATTTAATTTCTCAGCCATTATTCAAAATATGATTGCATATAACTAAATAACTTGGGAGTAAATGAAACAGCGTGCACAGACATCTGTATACAGTTAGCAAATAAAGGCAAGGACAGTGGATTTCGATCAGTTTAGTAATTTATTAGATTGTTTATGTATTCCTATTTTATTTATAACAAGCTTTTATTTAGTAGAATAAGAACATGTAGAACATTTAGTAGAATAAGAACAATACATGAATACACAGCCTTTTAGCAGCGCCGGATTTAGCATTTTTCCTAGGCGGGGTAAAAACTTAAAATTGCCGCCCTTACTTTCTGTAAGAAATTTTAGTTTTTTTAAATAAACATAGAAATAGGTGGTTTACGAGATAAAATTTAAAATCCGTTTTATAGTATGAAATTCTTTATATGCCATTTTTGTTCTAAAAGAAAGATACATAACAAATGGTTTACTTTCTTTACTTGTGGCAAAGCATAAGAGAGCTACCTGCCTAAGAAAGGAGATGTCTTCGCTGAGGTCTTTGTAAGAGTAACTGGCTCATAAGCAAATTACGCATGAGCGAAACGGCGGAAACACCCATGCAGCCAGCTAGAACTACATACCAAAAGTTACATAATTAAAAACCCGTGCGAACCCTCTTAATGCAGTTACTCTTAATGCAGTTACCGGGGCACTGAAATAATCAAATTTACATTTTCCCTGAAATGGGGATTTTTTTCAATATTTGCAAGAATACCTACTCATACTAATAAATGATGCTAACAGAAAACGATTCAGAACTAAACACTAAAATAGTTCAGCACAGCACAAAAATGGGAATCAGACATTACTGAATAATAATAATAAAAAAATCATTTAAACAAATATAAGCAAATTACAAATTACTAATACAATAGATTAAATAATTTTGTACCAATTTCTCGATACTAACAGTAACTTTAAACTAGCACTTTAAATATTCATTTCACAATAACGCCTTCATTTAGCCTTACTCAAGAACTCTACTATCGTCCTCACAAAGTCCAATAACATAATAAATGTTTACATATTCACGCAAAAGACTATTTTTGTACTGTTATAGTCAAAATTACAATTTCTCTGAAATACGCAATTTTGCAATATTTGCAGCACTAACTAGCCAGACCATGGAGGTAAGAAAGAAAGGATGGACCAACCCCGCATGGCGAGTGAAGCACTGCTCCAAGGGCTTGGGTCCACAGATGGAGTGTTTTTTGTATGCATTTAGAACCTCCCTTGACAGCGCATTGATAGTACTCGTATTTCGACACACGGTACTTCCATACAAATCGAAAAACTGGACACTTCCGCATAAAAGAAACATTCATTGTGTGATGGATAAAGTTTGTATAGTTATGCTTATGCAAAATGTTATGTTTAAAGAAGATTTTAGCATAAATGTTACGCTTAAAGAATGAAAAATACCTTATGATACGTTTAAAATTATATACGTCTTTCGATACCCTTGATTATGCACTCGTAATTAAAATAATGTTTAGTTACAAATAATAGATTACATAAGTTGGGACAATAGATGAGCTAATTAATTACGTAACTATTGTTGTTATGTATAGCTAATGAAGAATTATGTCTTTCATTAGCTATACATAACAACAA